CATAGAATTATGTAGTTTATTCTCTTCATATGTAATTCTAGATCAGGTACAATTAACCCATTGTCACAGAAAACAGATCAGTTTTTGCCTGCACATGGTGAATGAAGACTGATTACAAAGAGGCTTGACAAGACTTTCTGGGTTGCAAAAAACTACACAGAACATTTTAATTCTTTTGAAGTTTCTTCCTTCCCTTGCTTCTGTTTCTTATCTTCATTATTGTTTAATGGGAATTTAGGTTGTAATTTACATTAACTATGATTATTCTTTATTAAAGTTACATGCTTTTTATTAGACAAAATCATGTTTCATTTGCAATTGCTTTATGTTTGGGGAGACTTGGTTAAGAAATTTATTCCTTTAGCTTCAGTGATTTGTCAGTTATTTACTGACTACCTTAGCACCTGGCCTTGTTTCTCTCCACAAGGTAATTGCAGATGTTAGTTCTCAACAAAAGTAAAAAGCTGAGAGAAGGGAAAAAAAGGAAAGCTGACTGGGGAGCTAGAGATTATATATGTAATCTGATTCAGAACAGAGTTACAGGACTGGGGATATAACTCAGCAGCACAGGACCTGCCTGACAAGCACAAGGTCCTCCATTTGATTTCCAGTAACAAACAAACAAACAAACAAGAAAACAAAACAAAAATTACAGGACATCTATTTCCCCATCTCACAACTTTCTGGTCATTTACTAGTGTACTTACTACTTCAGGAGAGGGTCTGGAGAGGATCTCAGGCTGGCTATGTCTTCTGTAACTGTCTCTACTTTCTTGGTTGCAGCTACATATTTCAGACCTAACTCTGTCCTTGTCCAGACCTAACTCTGTCCTTGCTCCTCCCCTATGAACTCTGGGGTTTCAGTATAAATTATGTCATTGAGCTGGATAGGTTGGTATGTTGCAGTTTGGTCCTTCCTTCCTTTATCATAGGTATCTTTGAAGGTGCAGGGCTTTTAATATTGCATTATCATGGGAATGGGACTCAAGTACTCTTTGGGATTACCTAATTTCTAGAAGTAGACCTGTTCAGCCCTCGTCCCAGGGGGCAATCCACCAAATTTACAGCTTTTCACTACAGGTTCCTTAGACAGTGGGGCTCACTCCTGCCTAATCATCTTTCCTCATTGCAGGAAATTTCTGAAGTTCCCCCAGGTCAAAATATACCTATATTTCATATTTCAATAAATTGTGAATGGTATTTTCCTCACTGATTTCTTGGTGGATTCATTATTGGTATACAGGAACATTATTGATTTTTTAGTGTGGATTTTGAATCCTGTGACTTTGCTTAATTTATTAGCTCTAGGAGTGTTTTGATGGAATTTGTTGGGCCTCCTACGTAAAGGATCATGGAATCTTTGAACAAAGATCATTTGACTTCTTTTTCTACAAGTCTCCCTTTCATTTCTTTCCCTTGCCTCACTGTTCTGGCTAAAGTTTTGAGGATTATTTTGGACAGCAGTAATAACAGTGAACATCTTTGTCTTTTTTGGATTTCAGTTGAAAAGCTTTTAGCTTTTTCTTTTAATATGATATTGTCAGTAGGCTTGTTATAAGTGGCACTTACTAGATTGAGATAAGGTTTTTCTATACTTATTTTCTTCAGGATTTGTAACAGAATGAATGTTGAAGGTTGTCAATTTTTTTTTCTTTTTCTTTTTTACATCTATGCAAAGGTCATGTGATTTTTGTCCTTGGTTCTGTTTGTGTGAAGTATTACATTTATTGATTTGCTTTGGTTGGTCTGTTCCTGGGATGAAGCCTATGTGGTCAAGATGTGTCATGTTTTCATAGTATCATTTAATACCTGAACCATTGTTGAATTCCTATTGCTTTATTTAGTGAAATCTTGTATCATTCCTAATACTGTTTTTTTCTATCATTTTGTATTTTTTTTTTCAAAAAAGATGCATCATGTTTTTAGCACTTTGTTGCATTCTGTTTTCCAGTATCTCGGGGGGTGGGGGAGCTGCCCATTAGCTCAGGTGTTTAAGTGCCTGCTGAAACAAAGCAGTTAGGCTCAGGATGCTGCAGTTCGATCCCCTCATCCTCAAGCCAAACCAGACCAGCTCTGAAGGCATCCTGAGCAGCACTCCCCACCCCAAAAAAGCCTCCAGTATCTTGTTGAAGATCTTTGTACATATGCTGATTAAAGTGACTGATCTATAGTTTTCTTTAGTTGAATGCTTGTCTGATTTTGGAATCAAACTAATGCTAGCTTCCAGAAATAAGCTTGGCAGAACTCATTTTCTTTCCAATTCATTGAAGAGTTTAAGGATTTTTGATGTTAGGTCTTCACAAAAGTTCTTGTAGAATTCTGCAGTGAGTTCACTGCAGGTTTCTTACTACCATCTCAATTTTATTGCCCATATTGGTCTGTTCTGAGGTTTTTTTTTTTTTTTTTTTTTTTTTTTTTTTTTGGTTCAGCTTTGGAAATTTGCATGTGTATAAAAAAATCTGTATTTCTTCTGGATTCTTCACTTTCTTGGAGAAGAGGTTTTCAATGTAGTTATTTATAATCTTCTGCATTTTTTTTATTGCTGCAGTTACTTAACTTTATTATATTTTAAAATGTGAAAACTGTAAAGTACAGTGTTTATATAAAGACCTGAGGACTGTTCAACTGGGCACAATATCTTCTTACAAGCAATTTGAAAGAAGACCAAGTTTTAATAAGAATCTAGTCTCATAACATAAGGGCCAACACAGAGGAAGTGATCCTTCAAATAATTGCATTCTTATCTAAAGTACACTTAGTTTTCTAAAATTGTACATTCTTGTCCCAGTGAACATTTTAATGGCATTTAAAACAAATGGCTAATACTTTTACAAGTGATTTTAATAGCTTATTAATATTACCTAAGTTGTAACAATAAATGTATAGCACCATTTCCCCCTGAAAGTTCTAACCTTCAAAGACCAAAATAGAACTAATGTATCTTCCAAAATGTAGGAGAATGAATGGCTCAGAACCAAGAAAATTAGCAAGAAACTTTGCATAGGATAGAGAACCTTCCTGCATGGAAACCAATCTACTGATTGTTTCTTATCACCTGAGGAGCAAGCTGAGAGATACTGGTAATAGCAAATGATGCACATAAAAACATCTAACACTCTTACCTCTGGCAGTGCCATATTAAGATCAAAAAGAAAATACAAGAATAGAATAGTATATAAATATGGTAAAGTATCCATATGAAAAATACAATACAAACACATACAATAAAATATATATCTCTTAAAAATCTGCACACAGATATAGAGATATGTGAAATGAATGCCTAATGTTCAAGCTTAGCAAAAATATAGGTTTTCATATATGTATTTTAGTAAAAAAATGTAATCCTACTCTACCTAAAGCACTCTTTTTTTAAAACATAATTTTATTGAGAAACAAATAGCAATGAGACAGTTTCAAAACCAATTACTAGCACAGTTTCAATAATTAATACATTTCATATTGTTGTCTTAGTGGTTGTTCATTGTACAAGATGCAGACATGATATCCTGTCCACGAACACTATTTGAACAAATCTCTTTATTCACTGAATTAAGAGAATGTAGCTGTATATCTATCCTAAATATTTTGAATATACAGACACAAAATGGTCCTTCATTTGTATCCACTTTTTTGTTTAGTTTTGTCAGAGATGGGTATTCCATTGCCATTTAAATATTGTAGGTGCATGAATTCAGCAAAGTAATCCAATATAGTCCAATAGTCCATAATAGTAGTGGGTTTTCTGTAACACTGGCAATGTCAGAAGTTGTTGACTTGAGCCTTTTACAGTTCAGCATACCAACATGGCTTCACCCCTTGTGTCGATATACAACCATCCATTTTCTGCTGGATGGTTAAGACCAAGCTAAAGCAAGACCTATATAACAAGAAATGTAACTTTTGTATCTGATAAGGTCAGTCATATCCCCTCAGGATTTATCCTGAAACCTTGTACCATAGTTTGTAGATCCTTCATCAGTGTCAGCCACGTGGATGAGTCATGGCCATTGCTTGACCAATTTGGTCTCTGTGAAAGCCTGAGAGAATGTTTTCTCTCCATGTGACTCTCCTTAGGCACACTCTACATCATCGATCACTTTCCACTGTGTCCCCATAATCCACCTAAAGCACTCTTGTAGTACAAACACTTGCACAAAATGACATTCTATCAGTTCTGTTTTTAAAAATTATAAAAAAGGTTAAGAAAACTTTATGAATGCTAATAAGCTTGCTTCTTTCTTTAAATATGAACAAATAAAATAGTGAAAGAACTAATAACAGAAAACAAAATAATTTATAGGGCTATTTCTTTTCTAGAAATTTTTAAAAACGCGAATAGAACACTATAGAATCAGAAAATGTTCAAGAAAGAGACTATAGCTACAGGTACATACTTAAATTTTTTTCTGAGGAAAAATTCTCATGGGTTTAAATATAGAAGTTGTTAAAACTCTTAATGTTTTCCTCTATGACATTTAGCTGTTTTGCTTGTGAATATAAAGATTAGGCCAAATGAAAGGGTTTTCTGCTCACTGCATGAAGTATGTTTGTAAGATACACAATCAAAACAATAAAGATAAAATGAATTACCAATTTGAGTATGCTAATATTAGCATGTTATATGGCTTTTTAAGAAGTAGACTGGACCATTATTGTAATTCTGTAATTCTGACAGAATATTTTTATAGGAACTTTCTAGAAAAGAAAGACTGCTAAGAAAACTACTTTTAAATTAAAATGTTATCAGCACACCTGAGAATTATGTCCAGTCTAAACTGACTTTTTTTCAATTCTTTTTTCCTTCTTTAAGTTTTTCAGTGTAGTAACACAGCTTTATTCCGGCCCCCAGCTTCAGCCCCATATTCCTTATCATCACTTCACTCCTGAGTAGAAGCAGAGCTTTCCCATCAGTCTCACATTGCCTGAAGAGTTCCATGAGGGGGCCTGATTTCTGAGGATCTGTATCTTTCATAAACGGTATCACTTTATCCACAGACCAGGTTGAAGAGTCCTTGTTTCAGGACACTGGGGTCAGGTACAGCTATATAAATTGGACCTTCATCTGTACTCTCCATTTCAAATGCAGCTTCACAGTAACTACTGGTGGGATATGACTTGGTCTGAGCTAGTGGTGAACTTGAGGTGCTTTGCTCATTTTGAGGAAAATCCCCATGGACTGAAGCATGTGTAAGACTGCTACAGACTAGATCCAAAGGATCTCCTGAACTTAACGGTGAATTCTTCAGTATTTCAAATTCTTCCTCTTTGGGCATATCTTTTGCCTCAGTGGACAATGATTCTTCTTTACAAACATGCAACATTATTTTGGACTGTTTAGGAGGAACAGAAACTGCACAAGGTACAGGTTGCTGAAGAGATTGTTTCAAGCTTTGCCTTTCTGGTGTTTCTTCTTTCACTTTTCTGCAATCCCAGTGCCAGGGAGGCTGAAAACAGGAAGATCACTAGGAGTTCGAGCTGCATAGTGAGACCCTGTCAAGTGCCAGGACTGGAGTTCGATCCCCGGTACTGCAAGCCGTGCCAGCCCTGGAACCCTGGGGACAACATGCCAAACACCAAAACTGGGTGTGGTGGTGCACCCCTGTAATCCCAGTGCTGTGAAGGTGGAGACAGGAGGATCACTACTAGTCTGAGCTGTGTAGGCAGACCCTGACACATTTTTATCAAATTCTACAGGGCTTTGATATTACCCCTGTAAGAGCTGAAAGGTTGGCTACTCAAAAGGTTATTGCACTGCAGGGTATGGCACAAAGTCTCAAAGAAGTGAAGAGCAAAGGATGCGCTATTCACTGGAGATAGCTGGATGGAATGAGTTTCCCCATCACAGAAGGCAGTTATCACTTCTTCTCCATGATTATCTGGCTTAAGAAATACAAAAACAATCTTTGACTCAAAGGCACAATCCACACAGGCTTGTACAGTTCGCCAGAGTACCACATTCACAGGGCCTGGGCCAAAATGGTCAGGCAGCTGCTAGATTCTCCTTGGGTCCACGTAAGGGCCAGTGTTTCCGCATTTGTTTATACAGACACAAACTGTAGACATCATGATTTTAGATGGTGCAGGATTGATAGTCCCATCGTGTGAAATTCTCGCCAGTGTTCTTAGAAAGGTTGTAGATGTAGAACACAACATGGGAATAGTTTTTTCCTTTTTTCCTAAGCTTTGACATTTTTTCTTTGGTATATTTTTACAAGAACTGCCCTTCTTAGAGGCTGCAGTAGGTCCAGATGGTTTAATTCGAGCAGATTTCCTGAGCTGTTGTGTTGACAGTATTGCAGCAGTTTCCTATGGAGACTGCATTGAATGCTGGGTTGTGTCAGAAGGGGAAGATTCTATTTTTTCTGTAATTTTCTGCATTTTGATGGTATCTTTGTCATTTTGTTATAGATAGCTAAGTTAGAGAGACATTAATATATAATCAGAGAGTGATGGAGCTTTCAAGGAAGCTAGCACAAAAAATGAAGACTTTAGAATTATGGCTGGAGGGAAATGTGAAGACAGCCAGGACTCAAGATGGAAAAGCAATGGCCGACGCTGCATGCCTCCCCTCCCTAGAGACAAGCAACAATTTGAGATTATACTGCAGTTAGCACCACTTGGCTCAGTATTCCCACATAGGCATTAGGCAGACAGGGAAGTGAACAGAACAGCTGGACCCATACTTCATTCCCTTTCCGAGAATTCCTTTGATCTTTCCACACCCCCTTGCTACATGACTGGATTCCCTATTGCAGTGGTGGCAAACCTATGGCATACGTGCTACAGTAAGCTGTTTGTTATCACTGTTTGTCCTCAGTAATCTTCCTTTTCTGCTCCGACTTGCCGGCCCCCCTCCCCAGCCTGAGCCTGTTTCTTGGGGGGCATTGTGGGGAGAGATTGCACTGGCCCGATATAGGGACATACAGACGCGGTGGGGGAATTAGGCACCATAGCAGGTGGAGGAAGGCGGGACCGCGGATCACCACTGGTCCCCTCTGTAGCAAAGAGAGCAAGTCCTCAATTGCATACTTTTAACTACCTGGAAGCTCCATGTTATAATGAGAAATTTGGTGGATATTGAAATTGTTTCCATTATTTTAATCCTCAAAATATTGCAACAAAAGTGTTTGCTCAAGTGCTGGGGAGATAGCTCAGAGGTCTGCGAGTCTCCTTGGCAAGCGCAAGTACCAGGGTACGATTTCTGGCACTGTGTACCGTGCTGGTCTTAGAGCCCAATGCGTCCCCAGCCGGCCACCAGAACCAGATGTGGTGGCACACTCCTGTAATCCCAGCTCTGGGGAGGCTGAGACAGAAGGATCACTGGAAGTCTGAGCTGTGTAGCAAGACCTTGTACCAAATAAATAAATAAATAAATAAATACATAAATAAATAAATAAAATGTGTTTATTCTTTTTTTTTAAACCCACATGGATCACTGTGACATCCAGTTTCTATTCACAAAGAAAAGGCTCTAGTCCATCTTCTAATTTTTTTTAAAGACCCCTGACATTACAGAACTAAACTGAAATGTATTAATATTCCACTCTTATATTTTTGTGACAAACAGAAAAATTCGTGAGCCAAAAAACAAACAAAACAACAAAACAAAACAAAAAAAAAGGGAGAAGCTTACAGAACTAAATATGAATCTCAGCATAAACAGCTGAACAGCAAAAGGAATTAAAACTCTGTAATTAAAAAATCACGAGTGGATGATAAAGTGTGTAGAAACTGAAAATTTACAAACTGTTTAAAACGTGGAATCGCTGACTGTTCAGAAACTACACAGATGGATCATGGTGGGGGTGAACAGCAGAAAGGGTTATGGACGGATCTGCATTGTTCTAGCTGCTTCCCATGCCACCCGTCTCCGAGGAAAGCCTGACATTGATTAGATATTGAGCCAGGCTAACGCTGGCTGCAGATCCAGTGATAGTAACCTGCCTATCAGTAAATCCTTCCACTGGGTTCGCAGTTTTGATCTGCGCCTCAGACATGTGAAGAATCTCACTGATTTTGGCGCCTTGACAGCCAATTATGCAGCTAATCAAATCGTTTGGAATGGTGAGTTCATGAGAAGTAGTCTGAGCAGATTCGTCCAAACCTGCACTGAATCCGGTGTTGCCATGCATCCCGGGAAAATGAGACTGTTGCATTGCCAACTGACGCAGCTTGGTCAACTCTGGCTGTGGAATGGCATACTGTGCTTGAATGATATAGGCCTGACCACCTGCAAAGATGACTGGAGAACTTGATGGCTTGAGCTGGTATGGGACAGTCACACCCTTCGTGGGGGACTGGGAGAGACAAGGAGATCTGTTTGACACATTCAGTGACGGATTGCGGGATGCCAGCAATAGTGATGGCCCACTTATTTGAACTGGGGAGCAGCATATCTCCTGCCACTTGGACCTGAGCCCTTGTATTCTCTCGTATTTCCTTGATCTTGCTACCACCTTTTCCAATGGGACAGCCACACTGACTGGCAGGGACCACCAGCCTCAGACAGACTGGGGGTCTACTGACAGCTGTGCTATTCATCATAGAGCTGCTGATGTTCTCTTCCAGTTTGTCAATTATCATAGCAAAGGCTTTGAAGATAGCATTAGTGGGTCCAGCCAAAGCGATAATTCGCTCAGGACAATTCCCTTCTGAGATGTTGATACGTGCACCAATCTCCTCACGCATCTTCTTAACTAATTCTCTTTCCGATGATACTGCCAACTTCCTTCCACGTATAAGTAGCTGGATTGTGAGTGTGACATTTAATCCACCTTCAACCACACCAGTGTCCATGTCGAATACTATGAGAAGCTGGACTTTTTGAGTGGTCAAGTCTTTGGTCCCTGGTGGGGGTCAAAGCTAAAAACTGCAGGTGCCTGGCAGGGCAGGAAGGGGAAGGGTGGGGTGGGAGGCCTGGGCAGAACAATAGGGGAGGGTAGGAAGGCAAGGGGGCCCTCCTGAGAGAGAGAAAGGAAGGGGGTGGATGAGGAGGAAGAGGAAGGGGAAAAGAGACCCCGGGGTGGGTGGAGGGCAGCAGAGGGCAGGCTGGAGAAGGCGCAGGCTGCGGCTGCTCCGGCTGCTGTCTCTGCTGGTCTGGGGCCATTTATTCTTATATTTTGTACATATACATAGGTTTGCCCATTGAATAGTTTCCCAGAAGTGAGTTAATGGGCAAAATGGGAAGGAAAATTACCAAAGTGTCTTTTAAAAGGTTATTTTTGTCCTGTATGAGAATACAGGCATTACTCTTGATATGTAATAAAATGCTCCTTCATAGATACATCATAGTACTTCTCATACCCAGAACTGGTCTATGAGTTTATCACACCCAAGACCAAATCAATAATATTTTGCCGGTCCCACCTCCCAGGACACGCTGAGATGGCTATTGGGACTGGGCGTGGAACACATTTGAAAACCCAAATGATTCCTTCAATTAATTTTCCACTAAATTCTATTTATTTTCTCCTAAAAAAGTTACCTACACGAATATATTTAAAATTTTATGTGGTCATAGCCATTATACTTTTATAGTTATTCATGACTTTTAAGATTTTAATAATATAAATTCGGTATTTAATTAACCATTTAATTTGCACAATTTCATTTTGAAGACATTTTTAATCCAATTCAAAATTTAACATGAATTGAGAGTGTGCAAATTAATTTTCTCTCTATACAAATAACAATTATTTCAGTACAATACCATCAAATCCATTCCTTCTACAGTAGTTTGCAACACTGCTTTTGGGATTCAAGCACAATTTATTGGAATTTATGGGATACTATGAAAGCAGTTCTCAGAGGGAAATTCGTGGCTGTGAACTCACACATTAGGAAAACAGAACAGGAACAAATAAATACCCTAATGCTGCACCTACAATAACTAGAAAAGGAAGAGCAAACCAAACCCAGAGCCTAAAGATGGGAAGAAATCATAAAGATTAGAGCAAAAATTAATTCAATTGAGACAAAGAAAACAATTCAAAGAATTAAAAAAACAAAAAGCTGGCTCTTTGAAAGATTAAATAAAATCGATAAGCCCCTAGCTAACTTCATCAAAAAAAGGAAAGAAAAAATTCAAATACAAGCAATGAGGAATGAAAAGGGTGTAATTACCACAGACTCAGTAGAAATTCAGAAGATTATCAATAGCTACTTTGAGAATGTTTACTCCCACAGAATAGAAGACACAGAAGAAATGCACCGATTCCTAGAAAGGTATAAATTATCACAACTGAATCAACAAGATATAACCACTCTCAATAGG